GTGCCGGCGGCTCAAAACAAACAGGCGGATGCTTTGTCGCGCAAGCCGGAGTATACTCGGGGTCAAGAAGATCCCTCAGAGTCCTGCATTTTGCGCCCAGAGAACTTTGCGCTCGCCGGAGTATCGGGACTCCCTTCGACTCTGGCGGAAAGGATCCGAGCGCGGCAGCAAGAGGACTTGTGGGTGCAAGAGCAACTGGAGGCCGGACTAAAGTTTCCTTTTCAAGAGTTGGATGGGGTGCTGTGTCATCGTTCAAAGGTCTATGTGCCGGCCGGTCCCGAGCGGGAGGAAATTTTAAAGCTTTGTCATGACACCAAGCCAGCAGGGCATTTCGGGATCTTTAAAACAATGCAGTTGGTGCTGAGAGACTTTTGGTGGCCCAAGATTCGGCAAGAGRTTGAGAAATATGTCAATGGGTGCCCTGTTTGTCACCGTGCTAAGAACTCTATGGGCAAGCCGGCTGGTTTGCTACAACCTTTGCCCACTCCGAGTCGGCCCTGGGAAATCGTGTCGGCCGACTTCATCACGGATTTGCCAGAATCTCAAGGTTTCACCACCATTTTGGTAGTGGTGGATCTCTTCACCAAGATGGGACATTTCATTCCCTGTGTGGGAGTGCCTACCGCTAAAGAGACTGCCGATCTGTTCCTGGGTCACATCTTCCGTCTTCATGGACTGCCATCGAGTTTGGTGACCGATCGTGGTGCCCAATTTACCTCGCATTTTTGGAAGGAGATTCAGCGGCAGTTAGGCATCGAGAGTCGAATGTCGTCTGCACACCATCCACAATCCGATGGCCAGACCGAAAAGACCAACGCCACCCTTGAGCAATATTTGAGATGTTTTGTGAACTATCAACAGGACAATTGGTCATCGCTTCTTGCTGTAGCAGAGTTCGCTTATAACAATGCCGCTCACGGGTCGACCAAGGAAGCTCCGTTTTTTGCTAACTATGGATATCACCCCCGGTTCTTTCCTTCACTGGTGAGCTCAGGAGAGGTCCCTGCCGCTACCACTTGGCTGCAGGAACTCTCAGCGATTCAAGAGATTTTAAAGGCTCAACTGGAGCAAGCCAAAGAGGATTACAAACGAGTGGCAGATACTCATCGGCAGCCGGGTCCATCGATCCAAGTGGGAGATCGAGTTTGGCTGTCCACCAAACATTTGCCTATACAACGTCCCTCTCGAAAGCTTGACGCTCGTTTTGTGGGACCATACCTAGTGGTGGAACAATTGAATCCTGTGACCTTTAAGTTAAAGCTTCCGCGTGGCTTGCGGATTCATCCTGTTTTTCATCGATCGTTGCTCAAGCCCGCCACGGAAGTCCGGCCGGATGCTGGCGGGGCCCCTCCACCGCCCCYGATTTTACTTGATGGAGAAGAGGAATTTGAGGTGGCGGACATTTTGGACTCTCGCCGTTATCATCGCAAGTTGCAATACTTGGTGGATTGGGTGGGATATGGTCCTGAAGAGCGCTGTTGGGTAGATGCTCGAGATGTTCATGCTCCTCTCAGGAATGTTACCTTATGTATGTACTGCTCAATTTCAAGCAGCATCCCTAATTTTTAATACAGGATCCATACATTTTCCATAACAGTGTTGCAATCCATAGCAGGGAACGAGGCCCTCAGATAACTATCCACCACACTTGGCTGTGAAAAACAATCCTTTTTTATTGAAGAAAAATGGTTACAAAATAAAGGAAAAATGCAAGTCAAAAGCCACAGCAAAATCAGCAAACATGAATTTAAATGGACAAAGCAAAACCAAAAGCCTCACTGGGAAAATACTGGAATCTGTTAGCAATCCACTAACCGTACTTGATATCCTAGAAATCTTCCCAAACTATGGCCAGGGAACCGGGAGAACTGCCAAGGTCTTCATCAATTCTGAAACGATGCCTGAACTGAGGCAATCAGCCTGGCGTATTGCAATTAAAACTCAAGAATCGGTTCCGTGAACCGCCCTTCTGTTTTGAAGCCAATGTTTTTAATTCTTGAATTCGGGAGGATCGACGCAAACTGAGTGTTTTACTTCTGTCTTCCCAAATTTGGCCCCTTCTGTTGTCATTACAGTTAACAGGTGCAGAAGGGAGGGAAAGTTCAAGGTCTCCCTCTGAAACATTCTCATGAACACTGGTACTTTCATTTTCCAAATCTACAGAAGTTCCTTCCTCACTAATTTCAGGAACATTGGCATTTTCCAAACCTACAGCAGTTTCTTCCTCACTAATTTCAGGAGCATTGGCATCAAAAGGTACATTTCCACTAGCATCAGTAAATATACTTTCATTAGCATCAGGAGGAACAAACAGAGAATCAGGTTCAAGTTCAAACTCAGGCTGAACCCCAACAAACAGTCAGAAACCTTAATTCACTAAATAAGTCCAGAATTGCAGCATTACTCACAATGCTATAAAATTATCTACAATGGAGCATTACTACATGATGATAGTTATAGCAATTGGGTTTACTAGTTTACTGGCTAATTGAAAGATTGTTGTGGATATCACGACAGGTTTAAGAAAGAGAATTATTGCTTCCAGAGATAGTAGATCAGTTATCAGTATAACTACGAAACATATTATTGGGGAAATAATTATTTGCTTTTTTGTGGTATGGTATGCATATCTAGTGTCTTTCCTTAATAGTTTAATTGCCTGTTTAGCTATAAAGGCAATACGTACAGAATATGTTTATCATCTCAACTTTCTTATTATAGGTTGTTATGGTGTTCCTTCTCATGAAATCCATGATGGGTGGCTGTGTTCACGATGCAAAAGAGGAGCCTGGACAGCTGTAAGTTGTAAATTTGGTTTAGCTTTTTTTCACAGTGTAACCTAAATCTGATTGTGTGTGAAAGTAAAAGAGATGGAAGTTCATTCCTCTGATCTTTCCATTCATAATTAACACACTATCATTATGGTTCGAATGGAATGTTTGATTGTATATTGGTGACTAAGATGTGTAATATTATGCCAGTTAACAAAGCTACCAAAATTGCACTCTGGTATTTTGTGGCTTGTTTTGAGATGTCATTTGTGGTATTGGTAGATTGTGTTTTGTTTCTGTCCCCGCTCCCCTTAAAATAAAATTGCAACACCAGCATGTCCACTATAGAAATGCAAAATTCTACTAAATGTTTTTTGTGGCTACTTCCAATTTCTTTGTTGTTTTGCTGACCACACTTTGCTCTGTAGCTCCATGAACAGCCTATTTTAATTGCTCCAGTGTTAATTTATTTTCCTGTTGGGAGTAGAGAAGGCTTCAATAGTTACTGATTTACTCTCATTTTTATTTCCATTTTTAATGGTAAATAGAAGTCTTATTTTAAAAATGCAGCAAACCAGTAATTAAACCTTATAGGGTAATTTAGATTGCATTCATAAACAAAGAATAAGTTGCATGGACTTGGGAGACTTTACACTACAGAGGTAATATGTTTTGCATTGTAAAAGAGGATTTCAGGGAGCTCTTAAGAGACCTTTGATCACTACCTTCTATCTGTGAGTAACAATAAAACAGGTAATATCTGTAGTCTATAAAGTTCTAATTAATACTTAAAGGGCTGTTGATGAAATGGATTTAAAATACAAATCTTATACCACATATCATTATAAGCCATTTTCTAATAAAACTGTTGCATATTTATCATTGTTTATACTGAGATCACTCACTATGGCACTATCTTTCTGCGATGGAGAGATTGTGTGAGACAAGAAGTTATGCTGACAATATCAGTGCTCATGGTAGTGTTTCACATGTCATACAGGTTATTGCTTAGGAGCCAGACTAAACAGGAACTTTTCAGCAACTTCAAAGCAGGGAGAGAACTATTATAGCAATCAGTGGAAAAAAATAGAGGATGGAAAAAAAGAAAAACAAAAGATGTATTCCATAAGATCCAAAAAATCAAAAGGAAATTTAAGCCAAGAATGGAGATGTTATACAACTAGCAGGGGAACTCATTAAATGACTAAGTACAAATGAAAAATGGTGGAAACAATGCACAGAGAGGCATACAAAAGAGATGAAGGGATTTGTTCAAAGGAGAGTTATTTGAAGGTCAACTTACAATTTTCGAAAGTAAAGTGGAAACTGCACTCAAGGCATTTGAGAAAAATAAATGACCAAGGACAGATAGCACACAATAGAACTGCTTCAGACTACCAAGGCAGTATATATATTAGTTTGAACTAAAACAGTGGTCGACATCCTGCAAGCACTCAATAAATATTCCAGGCCCCAAGAAAGAGGGTACCATTAATTACAGTAATCACAGGATCATTGCATTAATATCTTAAGTAAGCAAACAAATTCTCAAAACTTAATAACAAAGACTTTTACCATATTTATTTATTTATTTATTTATTTATTTATTTATTTATTTATTTATTTATGGTATTTATATTCCGTCTCTTCTCTACCCCAAAAGGGGGACTTATATATGGAGTAAGAAAGGCCCGTCGTCTAAGCTAGGTTCAGGAAAGGGAAAGTAACCAGGAATCATATTGCAAACACAAATGTGACTCACTAAAATACAATAGTTCTTGGCAAGGTAGAAAGCAGTAGGAAAAGAGGAAGATAGCATTCTAGATGGCCATACTCAGGGACTGGCCCCAAACCCCATATTTCGTATGAATGGACCACTGGCAGTCTTCATGATGTATAGCAGTTTCCAGCGAATACTCTGAGTTTTTTCCACTTTAAATCAACATTGGTCTGCTTTTACAGACTCAGGGGATCTCTGAGAATTTGCTTGAAACTTTGGAGTATCCCAGAATTTTGGGACAGCCTGGAGTCAACCCAATCCACTATCCTGATGAATGCAGTGGCCATCTCCTTTTCCTGTTCTGTAATCGATCCTGCCCATGTTGCCACTGCAGCTGGCCACAGCGATGTCCAAACAAATTTATACTTGCTAACCTGTCTGATATAGATGAGCCCTCAGTCAAGGAAGCCACTTCCCAGAGTCTGAAAGAGCTGAGCAGGGCCGTTGATGATAGGGTGATGGTCACTTTTGGGACTCTCATTCATAGCGTCACCAGAAGCTGAAGTCATCTTGACAACAGTTAACAATATTGCTGTAATCCAGATATCCAGCATGGTGGAGAGGTTTGTGTGATTAAACCTTATGGACTATGATCCAGTAGGCCAGGATTCCAATCTTTACTCAGCTATAGAAACCCACTTGCCATGGGCAGATTATATTTTCTCTCAGCCTCAGATTAAGGCAAAGAGAAAGGCAAGCTCCTTCTGTACAAATCCTGACAAGATTACTTTCTGATAGCTTCACCTCAGAAATGACTTGAACACTGCAACTATACAAAAGCAACAACAACACTGCTTTTCAAAGTACACATAATGCTAAATATGCCATGCACAGTGTGTGCATATATTTATATTTAAGTAGAAATCAAACTGGCCTCTTCAATATCATCTTCAGCTTTCTGAGGAAAAATAGTATAATGATAATTGAGGCAGTTCCTGCTTCCCAGAGAGACAGAGAAGGGGGGAGAGTCTGTGTGTGTTTTGTGAAGGAACTCATTTCTGAGATACCAAAATAGAGAAACATGCAATAATATATATACATTACGCAAAGCTGTTATCTTCTGGGATCGCGACAGTATGTTTGAAATTTGTGAGAAGTTTTTGCTAAAATCACAAAAGCTAGAGGGTGTACTATGTTTTTTTTTTACCAGTTCCACTTCTTCCTACCTAGCCTTTAAAAATTTATTTGTGCATCCACAGTTTTCTTTAATGTCTTTCTCTCAAATTTGTAGCTCCCTCTTATATCTTTTGTGAGTTATCCTATCTTCTACATGAGCTGGGATTATAGAATACAACCAAACATCAACAGGAAATGCCACACACAAGCTTTTCAGGATACATAAAACACCTGCCTCATTCCAAATGTAGTAGAATGTATTGGCATTTCTCACACCAATGAAATTTCTTACTATTTATGAAAAATAAGAGAGAGAGGTAAAGTGAACAGTTTGGAGGGACAGATAATATAATTTTTTTTTTAAAAAGAGAGATTCCTTGTAGCTGTTGGTAAAGAACAAAACAGGAGGATGCATATGTGGTGTGCATATTAACCAAGGCACGGAAATAAAATGGCAAATACCAATTTAGAACAGATTATTACAAAAATAGTGATTCACATACACAGGTAGTTCAATGTTTGCTTGGTGAATTGCTATTAAAATGTGCCCAGAGTCAATTTCTGTATCTGTAATATGTTTTCATTTTAGCAGGGTAGGCATTCTTTCCAGGCAAAATTGAATTTTTCCTCTCTTGCTGGCCACCAGAGAAAATTGTGAAAGGTTCCTTATCGGGCAATCAGAAGTTTCAGGACTTATGAAACTGCTTTTGTTACAGCTCCTGCAGAGTTGTGGGTGGGTGTAAAGGGGAGGGGGAATGGCAAAAGTCAATCCCAGCAGCTGACAGGGTGTCTTTTAAGTCAGAATGTAATTATCAGCTCAGTTCACTGAACAGAGTTAGACAGCACTGCTGCTCTAAAAACAAGTTTGTCAGTTTTCTTTCAGCCAAGGGACAGGTGTGGCAGCTCTAAGCTTTAGTAAGGGAGAATTTCCATGGGTTTCCTCATGTGGAGAGCCTGATTAAGCTCAAAATGATGAGTTCTGTCAGAGAACTTAGATCTTTTTCATCTAACAGGGTATCTGCCTTTTCAAACTAGGGTTTAGTCCTAAATTGGTATTACATACTAAATCTGGACTATATTTACATATCATCTTAGCCACTTTTTGTCCAAGAATGATCCATTCAACTAGCTTCTTAAAATAGCAGAGCTAGAGTGCATCTGCACTGTAGGATTAAAGCTGTTCGACACCATTTAAAATGCCATGGCACAATACTATGGAATCACGGGAGTTGTACTTTTACAAGATCTTTTGCCTTTTACCAGAGTGTTGGTGACTCACTAAACTACAATCTCCCAGGATTCCATAGCATTGAGCCACTGCAGTTAAAGGACATCATCACAATGCTGAGGTTCCCAGTGCCAATGTGCCAACCTCTGTGGTGAATTGGCAGGCCAGCAGGGCAATCCCAGTGCCCCACGCCCTGCCTGGCTGGCAGCAATGTTTCCCCATCACATGTGGGGAAGCGTCGCAGTGCAGCTTGTCCCCATGGTAGACCTGTTGTTTTGGAGCCCCGCTGGAAGTGAGGCTACATCATGTGATGGGCTGCATGGGGCTCCCATCGCTCAACTGGGGTGTCAGCATCCTAGGACGCTAAAAATTTGTTGTGTGATAAAGTCAAAAGTGGTGTCAAACTGCATTCATTGTACAATGAGCCAGACCCAGAAATATAACTTCAGGGGGAAGGGAAGATATATCTGCATGCATTCTCTATGTATGGTTCTTTATCCTCTCAAATGCAGTGTGCAAACATGTCCATATTATGGCTTGTTATTATTTCAAAATATCTATCAGAGTTTGACTTCTATTTGGGAAGGAGATTACTGGAAACATAGTAGCAGTTAGTAAACTTTTGTTTTCCTTCTAGCATGGATGCAGACAACCACCATGACATTCTATTAGATAGCAGCGCTCACCTCAATTTCCAAAAGTGACATCTTGCCCTAATCTTCAGCTGTCTTTCTGACTTACTATCTCTTTTTGTTATTGTTTGAAAACAACTTCTCTTGTGGGCTGGGTCAGTACTATCTTTTCAAAACGCTGTTAGGTAACTCTTTGGAGATCTCTGACTATTCATCAGGGACATTCAGTTTAACAAATCATGTGATCTCTTTGGCTTGCTATCACACTAGT